GAAGTTTTTCGCCTGAATAATACCTCTGGCAACGCGACCGCTATAGCAAATAAATCAGCTCTGCTTTTTGTTATTGTAGTCGGGCTGACTCTCCAGACCCCTCGCTGTGCATTTACACTACGCTGCTACTCATTGAACGGGCACTAGCCACTTAACTGGGTGTGTTCACGTATGCAAATAAACCCCCAGATTATCAATATTTTCTCTGGGGCCATATTTGAGCCTAGTTATCCCCTTGTGGACCTCATCCGTATTATAGGCTTCTAACGAGAGCCGTTTTCCTTAAACATCAAGTACGTTTCTCAAGCGAAGAAAAAAATTTCATCCAGAAGCATGCAACTCTCAATCAACTGTTTCTATTCTCTAACCACCCTTTCAAGTCCTTTTGTTGTGTATGGAGAGTGAAGGAGCCCATCTACACACACTGTAATTACCGCTTCGGCTTCCTACATGCTGTTGCTACTTCAAAGAAGACGGGAAATCATACCTAAGTGTTGGAAATATTGCTTATATAGATATTTCCTTGGCATTGCTCGGCTATTCATCCTGCCATTACCTGTATGCTAAAAGTCAGCCCTGGGGAAAGTGATCAATTATTGGGAATTTGAACTTTTCAATATGGGGTTATACACATGTTTACCGGAAATGTAGGGCTTTGAAATTGAAATTGAGACCGCATTACACTGCAGTACTCTGTTATCGTGGTTATGACGGACATATTGCAGGATGAGCGCTGTACCGTCAAAAACTAGGATCATAACAAAAATGCATTACTTGTAGTAACTTTGGATACAAGCAAAGGCGGAAAAATGGAGAAAATCAATGACGTCTAAATAACATTAGAATGTCAAATAAAGAAGAAATATGTTTATATAAAACATGTAAAAGTTGCTAATAAAATCTAATAAAATGTATTTTATAATGGCTGCCTAAAAATAACGGATTAACTAAACAGTGATTGATAGCATGAGCAATGCCCTACGCCGTTGGGGTACTATGACATATTCAGTCAGATCATGGTCACCGACTATGACCACCCAATCCTCAGTTTCTTTGGCCTTAGGAACACGGAATTCTCACATCAAAGCAGTGGCGTGTGATTTTGGTTTAACAGTATTTCAGTTCTATTCGGAATGCCAGTTGTATATAGGGGGAAAGCCAGTGACGCAGATCTTTTCACTGCTTTGGTCAAACCCCTGAGAAAGGGTAAGGTGCTAACAAAAAAAGAAATATAACAAGGGCGAACCGGAAGTCGAAACCTCGATCACAGGTTTTAGGCAAGCCTAGGACAAGCAGCTCTGCAAAGGCCAAGAATGATAATCAGGGATTCGAACCCATGATCATAAGGTTCGCAAGGGAGACATGAACACAGTACGTTGCGGCTCTCCTGACTACTTGGTCCCCAGTGCCCCTGTGTGCTTCAGAATATCAAAGGTGCACGGTTGACCCAGTAGTTATTTGCAGAGTTATGTCCCTTACCTGTGACGATACCCTTCATATGAGTTCGATTCCCTGATTTAAGCAGATTATGACTCTTGGTAACTCAGCTCCCGATCTCTTCACGTAGGCTCTCGTTCCGTCTTGTTCTGGCAGTTATGATGGGACTGAAATACTCTCAATGCTGGGTTATTAAAACCAAAGTACAACGGTCCTTAATAGTCACACTGAGGGATCAATGCAGTCGCACGACATGTACGTCATCTTAGAACAGCGACATAGTGCTCCTGCAACATCAGCAGTATATCACAATCATACTCTCAAAGCGTAATCGTCTTTTATGTTGCGCTATATTGCCACATCACACAGGGGCATGCTCAAAGCGCACACACATGTTACCACAAAGTCCCATGTTATCATAGTCTCATGTTATCACAGTCTCATGTTATCAAAGTATGATGTTATCACAGTCGCAAGTTGTCACAGTGTCTCATGTTATCATAGGCCCATGTTATTACGGTCACGTGTTATCACAGTGTCTCATGTTGTTACAGTTCCCCATGTTGTCACAATATCCCATGTTACCACAGTGTCTCATGAGGCCACCGTGTCACATGTTACCACAGCGTCTCATGTTACCACAGTGCCCCATGTTACCAAAGTGTCCCGTGTAACACAGTGTCTCATGTTACCACAGTGTCTCATATTACCACAGTGCCTCATGTTACCACAGTGTCCCATGTTACCAAAGTGTCCCATGTTACCACAGTGTCCCATGTTACCAAAGTGACCCGTGATATCACAGTGTCTCATGTTACCACAGTGCCTCATGTTATCACAGTGTCCCATGTTACCAAAGTGCCCCATGTTGTCACAGTGTCTCATGTTACCACAGTGTCCCATGTTACCACAGTGTCCCATGTTGTCACAGTGTCCTGTTATCACAGTGTCTCATGTTGCCACAGTGTCTCATGTTATCACAGTATCCCATGTTACCAAAGTGCCCCATGTTGTCACAGTGTCCCATGTTGTCACAGTGTCCTGTTATCACAGTGTCTCATGTTGCCACAGTGTCTCATGTTATCACAGTGTCTCATGTTACCACAGTGCCCCATGTTGTCACAGTGTTCCATGTTATCACAGTGTCTTATGTTACCAAAGTGTCCCGTGTTATCACAGTGTCTCATGTTACCACTGTGCCATATGTTGTCACAGTGTCTCATGTTACCACATTGCCCCATGATACCAAAGTGTCCCATTTTATCACAGTGTCTCATGTTACCACAGTGTCCCATGTTACCAAAGTGCCCCATGTTACCACAGTGTCTCATGTTACCACAGTGACCCTGTTGTCACAGTGTCTCATGTTACCACAGTGCCCCATATGCATGCTGTCACAGTGTCTCATGTTACCACAGTGCCCCATGTTACCACAGTGTCACATGTTGTCACAGTGTCTCATGTTATCACAGTGTCTCATGTTACCACTGTGCCCCATGTTACCACAGTGTCTCATGTTACCACAGTGCCTCATGTTACCACAGTGCCCCATGTGCACGTTGTCACAGTGTCTCATGTGGCTACAGTGTCCCGTGTTATCACAGTGTCCCATGTTACCACAGTGTCTCATGTAACCACAGTGCCCCATGTTGTCACAGTGTATCATGTTACCACAGTGCCCCATGTTACCAAAGTGTCTCGTGTTATCACAGTGCCTCATGTTATCACAGTGTCTTATGTTACCACAGTGTCCCATGTTACCACAGTGTCCCATGTTACCACAGTGTCCCATGTTACCACAGTGTCTCATGTTATCACAGTGTCTCATGTTACCACAGTGCCCCCTGTTGTCACAGTGTCTCATGTTACCACTGTGCCCCATGTGCACGTTGGCACAGTGTCTCATGTGGCTACAGTGTCCCGTGTTATGACAGTGTCTCATGTTACCACAGTGTCCCATGTTGTCACAGTGTCCCATGTTACCACAGTGCCCCATGTTACCACAGTGTCTCATGTTACCACAGTGCCCAATGTTACCAAAGTGTCTCATGTTACCACAGTGTCCCATGTTACAACAGTGTCCTATGTTGTCACAGTGTCTCATGTTATCACAGTGCCCCATGTTGTCACTGTGTCCCATGTTGTCACAGTGTCTCATGTTATCACAGTGTCTCATGTTGCCACAGTGTCTCATGTTATCACAGTGTCTCATGTTACCACAGTGCCCCATGTTGTCACAGTGTCCCATGTTAGCACAGTGCCCCATGTTGTCACAGTGTCCCATTTTGTTACAGTGTCTCATGTTATCAAAGTGTCCCGTGTTATCACAGTGTCTCATGTTACCACTGTGCCCCATGTTGTCACAGTGTCTCATGTGGCTACAGTGTCCTATGTTGTCACAGTGTCTTATGTTACCACAGTGTCCCGTGTTATCGCAGTGTCTTATGTTACCACAGTGTCCCGTGTTATCGAAGTGTCATGTTGTCAGTGTCTCATGTTACCACAGTGTCCCATGTTATCACAGTGTCTCGTGTTATCATATTGTCTGATCTTACCAAGTTTCCCATGTTACCACAGTGATTCTTGTTATCACAGTGTCTCATGTTATCAAAGTGTCTCACGGTATCACAATGTCTCATGGTATCACAATGTCTCATGGTATCACAATGTCTCATGGTATCACAATGTCTTATGGTATCACAGTGTCTCATGGTATCACAATGTCTCATGGTATCACGGTGTCTCATGGTATCACAGTGTCTTAGGGTATCACAGTGTCTTATTTTATCAACGTATCCTATCTCGTGTTATCACAGTCCCATGTTATCACAGTCTCGTGTTATCACAGTCTCGTGTTATCACAGTCTCGTGTTATCACAGTCTCGTGTTATCACAGTGCGTCATGTTACTGCCGTGATACACACCACAGTCCCAAGTTGTTGGTCGGTGCCCACTAACACGGGGGAATGGGGTGTTTCCAATATGTTGTCTGGCTGATCTTTTACCCAACGACATCAACCTATACTTTGTTTGGACCAAAGTCGATTATTTAGTGGATAAAGTTTATTAAATTGTTTTCAATAAGGTAAAATTACGTTATGACCCCTCCAAAAAAACCCAACCAAACAAACACACAACAAAAAACAAAACCAAACCAACAAAACAAAAACAAAACAAGACAAAACAAAACAATAACACACATAAAAACACAAAAACAACAACAACAAACCAAACCAAAACAAAACAAAAAACCAACAACAAACAATTCAAAACAAAACAAAACAAAAAACCAAAACAAAACAAAACAAAAAACCAACAACAAACAAAACAAAACAAAACAAATACAACAACAACAACAAAAAATAAAAAAATGTGTATGTTATACACTGGCTGGTGAATGTCAGTGTGCGTCGTGGTGCACAGGTGGTTGAGTGTCGCTGTGCACTGGTTGGCGTGATTGGTATACTGGTTGTTGAGTATTGTTGTGCACTGGTTGGCGTGATTGGTATACTGGTTGTTGAGTGTCGCTGTGCACTGGTTGGCGTGATTGGTATACTGGTTGTTTAGTATTGTTGTGCACTGGTTGACGTGATTGGTATACTGGTTGTTGAGTATTGTTGTGCACTGGTTGGCTTGATTGGTATACTGGTTGTTAGTGTCACTGTGTACTGGTTGGCGTGATTGGTATACTGGTTGTTGAGTATTGTTGTGCACTGGTTGCCGTGTGTGGTATACTGGTTGTTGAGTATTGTTGTGCACTGGTTGCCGTGTGTGGTATACTGGTTGTTGAGTATTGTTGTGCACTGGTTGGCGTGATTTGTATACTGGTTGTTGAGTATTGTTGTGCCCTGGTTGACGTGATTGGTATACTGGTTGTTGAGTATTGTTGTGCACTGGTTGGCGTCATTGGTATACTGGTTGTTGAGTGTCGCTGTGCACTGGTTGACTTGTTTGGTATACTGGTTGTTGAGTATTGTTGTGCACTGGTTGGCGTGATTGGTATACTGGTTGTTGAGTATTGTTGTCCACTGGTTGCCGTGTGTGGTATACTGGTTGTTGAGTATTGTTGTCCACTGGTTGCCGTGTGTGGTATACTGGCTTTTGGGTGTCGTTGTGCACTTGTTGACGTGTGTGGTATACTGCTTGTTGAGTGCCCTGCACTGGTTGCCGTGTGTGGTTTACTGATTGTTGAGTATTGTTGTGCACTGGCTGACGTGTGTGGTATACTGGTTGATAATGGCGTTGTGCACTGGTTGACGTGTGTGGTACACTGGTTGTTGAGTGCCCTGCACTGGTTGACGTGTGTGGTATACTGGTTGTTGAGTGCCCTGCACTGGTTGACGTGTGTGGTATACTGGTTGTTGAGTGCCCTGCACTGGTTGACGTGTGTGGTACACTGGTTGTTGAGTGCCCTGCACTGGTTGACGTGTGTGGTACACTGGTTGTTGAGTGCCCTGCACTGGTTGACGTGTGTGGTACACTGGTTGTTGAGTGCCCTGCACTGGTTGACGTGTGTGGTACACTGGTTGTTGAGTGCCCTGCACTGGTTGACGTGTGTGGTATACTGGTTGTTGAGTGCCCTGCACTGGTTGACGTGTGTGGTATACTGGTTGTTGAGTGCCCTGCACTGGTTGACGTGTGTGGTATACTGGTTGTTGAGTGCCCTGCACTGGTTGACGTGTGTGGTATACTGGTTGTTGAGTGCCCTGCACTGGTTGCCGTGTGTGGTACACTGGTTGTTGAGTGCCCTGCACTGGTTGACGTGTGTGGTACACTGGTTGTTGAGTGCCCTGCACTGGTTGACGTGTGTGGTACACTGGTTGTTGAGTGCCCTGCACTGGTTGACGTGTGTGGTATACTGGTTGTTGAGTGCCCTGCACTGGTTGACGTGTGTGGTATACTGGTTGTTGAGTGTCGTTGTGCACTGGCTGACGTGTGTGGTATACTGGTTGTTGAGTGCCCTGCACTGGTTGACGTGTGTGGTATACTGGTTGTTGAGTGCCCTGCACTGGTTGACGTGTGTGGTATACTGGTTGTTGAGTGTCGTTGTGCACTGGTTGACGTGTGTGGTACACTGGTTGTTGAGTGTCGTTGTGCACTGGTTGACGTGTGTGGTATACTGGTTGTTGAGTGCCCTGCACTGGTTGACGTGTGTGGTATACTGGTTGTTGAGTGTCGTTGTGCACTGGTTGACGTGTGTGGTATACTGGTTGTTGAGTGCCCTGCACTGGTTGCCGTGTGTGGTACACTGGTTGTTGAGTGCCCTGCACTGGTTGCCGTGTGTGGTACACTGGTTGTTGAGTGCCCTGCACTGGCTGACGTGTGTGGTACACTGGTTGTTGAGTGCCCTGCACTGGCTGACGTGTGTGGTATACTGGTTGTTGAGTGCCCTGCACTGGTTGACGTGTGTGGTACACTGGTTGTTGAGTGCCCTGCACTGGTTGACGTGTGTGGTACACTGGTTGTTGAGTGCCCTGCACTGGCTGACGTGTGTGGTATACTGGTTGTTGAGTGCCCTGCACTGGCTGACGTGTGTGGTACACTGGTTGTTGAGTGCCCTGCACTGGCTGACGTGTGTGGTACACTGGTTGTTGAGTGCCCTGCACTGGCTGACGTGTGTGGTATACTGGTTGTTGAGTGCCCTGCACTGGCTGACGTGTGTGGTACACTGGTTGTTGAGTGCCCTGCACTGGCTGACGTGTGTGGTATACTGGTTGTTGAGTGCCCTGCACTGGTTGACGTGTGTGGTATACTGATTGTTGAGTGCCCTGCACTGGTTGACGTGTGTGGTACACTGGTTGTTGAGTGCCCTGCACTGGTTGACGTGTGTGGTATACTGGTTGTTGAGTGCCCTGCACTGGCTGACGTGTGTGGTACACTGGTTGTTGAGTGCCCTGCACTGGCTGACGTGTGTGGTATACTGGTTGTTGAGTGCCCTGCACTGGTTGACGTGTGTGGTATACTGGTTGTTGAGTGCCCTGCACTGGTTGACGTGTGTGGTATACTGGTTGTTGAGTGTCGTTGTGCACTGGTTGACGTGTGTGGTACACTGGTTGTTGAGTGTCGTTGTGCACTGGTTGACGTGTGTGGTATACTGGTTGTTGAGTGCCCTGCACTGGTTGACGTGTGTGGTATACTGGTTGTTGAGTGTCGTTGTGCACTGGTTGACGTGTGTGGTATACTGGTTGTTGAGTGCCCTGCACTGGTTGCCGTGTGTGGTACACTGGTTGTTGAGTGCCCTGCACTGGTTGCCGTGTGTGGTACACTGGTTGTTGAGTGCCCTGCACTGGCTGACGTGTGTGGTACACTGGTTGTTGAGTGCCCTGCACTGGCTGACGTGTGTGGTATACTGGTTGTTGAGTGCCCTGCACTGGTTGACGTGTGTGGTACACTGGTTGTTGAGTGCCCTGCACTGGTTGACGTGTGTGGTACACTGGTTGTTGAGTGCCCTGCACTGGCTGACGTGTGTGGTATACTGGTTGTTGAGTGCCCTGCACTGGCTGACGTGTGTGGTACACTGGTTGTTGAGTGCCCTGCACTGGCTGACGTGTGTGGTACACTGGTTGTTGAGTGCCCTGCACTGGCTGACGTGTGTGGTATACTGGTTGTTGAGTGTCGTTGTGCACTGGCTGACGTGTGTGGTACACTGGTTGTTGAGTGCCCTGCACTGGCTGACGTGTGTGGTATACTGGTTGTTGAGTGCCCTGCACTGGTTGACGTGTGTGGTATACTGATTGTTGAGTGCCCTGCACTGGTTGACGTGTGTGGTACACTGGTTGTTGAGTGCCCTGCACTGGTTGACGTGTGTGGTATACTGGTTGTTGAGTGCCCTGCACTGGCTGACGTGTGTGGTACACTGGTTGTTGAGTGCCCTGCACTGGCTGACGTGTGTGGTATACTGGTTGTTGAGTGCCCTGCACTGGTTGACGTGTGTGGTATACTGATTGTTGAGTGCCCTGCACTGGTTGACGTGTGTGGTACACTGGTTGTTGAGTGCCCTGCACTGGTTGACGTGTGTGGTACACTGGTTGTTGAGTTCCCTGCACTGGCTGACGTGTGTGGTATACTGGTTGTTGAGTGCCCTGCACTGGTTGACGTGTGTGGTATACTGGTTGTTGAGTGCCCTGCACTGGCTGACGTGTGTGGTATACTGGTTGTTGAGTGTCGTTGTGCACTTGTTGACGTGTGTGGTACACTGGTTGTTGAGTGCCCTGCACTGGTTGACGTGTGTGGTACACTGGTTGTTGAGTGTCGTTGTGCACTGGTTGACGTGTGTGGTACACTGGTTGTTGAGTGCCCTGCACTGGCTGACGTGTGTGGTACACTGGTTGTTGAGTGTCGTTGTGCACTGGTTGACGTGTGTGGTATACTGGTTGTTGAGTGCCCTGCACTGGTTGACGTGTGTGGTATACTGGTTGTTGAGTGCCCTGCACTGGTTGACGTGTGTGGTATACTGATTGTTGAGTGCCCTGCACTGGCTGACGTGTGTGGTATACTGGTTGTTGAGTGCCCTGCACTGGTTGACGTGTGTGGTATACTGGTTGTTGAGTGCCCTGCACTGGTTGACGTGTGTGGTATACTGGTTGTTGAGTGCCCTGCACTGGTTGACGTGTGTGGTATACTGGTTGTTGAGTGCCCTGCACTGGTTGACGTGTGTGGTATACTGGTTGTTGAGTGCCCTGCACTGGTTGACGTGTGTGGTATACTGATTGTTGAGTGCCCTGCACTGGTTGACGTGTGTGGTATACTGATTGTTGAGTGCCCTGCACTGGTTGACGTGTGTGGTATACTGGTTGTTGAGTGCCCTGCACTGGTTGACGTGTGTGGTATACTGGTTGTTGAGTGCCCTGCACTGGTTGACGTGTGTGGTACACTGGTTGTTGAGTTCCCTGCACTGGTTGACGTGTGTGGTACACTGGTTGTTGAGTGTCGTTGTGCACTGGTTGCCGTATGTGGTATACTGGTTGTTGAGTTCCCTGCACTGGTTGCCGTGTGTGGTTTACTGATTGTTGAGTATTGTTGTGCACTGGCTGAAGTGTGTGGTATACTGGTTGATGATGGCGTTGTGCACTGGTTGACGTGTGTGGTATACTGGTTGTTGAGTGCCCTGCACTGGTTGCCGTGTGTGGTTTACTGATTGTTGAGTATTGTTGTGCACTGGCTGACGTGTGTGGTATACTGGTTGATGATGGCGTTGTGCACTGGTTGACGTGTGTGGTATACTGGTTGTTGAGTGCCCTGCACTGGTTGCCGTGTGTGGTTTACTGATTGTTGAGTATTGTTGTGCACTGGCTGACGTGTATGGTATACTGGTTGATGATGGCGTTGTGCACTGGTTGACGTGTGTGGTACACTGGTTGTTGAGTGCCCTGCACTGGTTGCCGTATGTGGTATACTGGTTGTTGAGTGCCCTGCACTGGTTGCCGTGTGTGGTTTACTGATTGTTGAGTATTGTTGTGCACTGGCTGACGTGTGTGGTATACTGGTTGATGATGGCGTTGTGCACTGGTTGACGTGTGTGGTATACTGGTTGTTGAGTGCCCTGCACTGGTTGCCGTGTGTGGTTTACTGATTGTTGAGTATTGTTGTGCACTGGCTGACGTGTATGGTATACTGGTTGATGATGGCGTTGTGCACTGGTTGACGTGTGTGGTACACTGGTTGTTGAGTGCCCTGCACTGGTTGCCGTATGTGGTATACTGGTTGTTGAGTGCCCTGCACTGGTTGCCGTGTGTGGTTTACTGATTGTTGAGTATTGTTGTGCACTGGCTGACGTGTGTGGTATACTGATTGATGATGGCGTTGTGCACTGGTAGACGTGTTCGATTATACTGGTAAGGTGTATGCTGTAAATATGCTGGGTAATATTACTAGTTGAGAACTTGTTACTGTATGCTAGGTGTTGTGTATCGTTGTTGTTTATACTAATATTGATTTGGAGCGATGTTCACCTCAGATTACGATATTGATCAGTTAAGTCCATGTCGATATACAATAAAACCTCCTTAGCTCGAACGCTGATAACTCGATATGTAGCGTTACGACGAAATTGAAAATGCATTGTACCCGCAGAATCCTCATTATACCTCCATGTGATCTGATTGGTTCACGTGGTCCTGATAAAATACGCTGCATCCCACCTTTGAGGGAAATAAATTTCTGCGTGAGAATTAATCACTTTTACCCCGCCCCGAAGAAAACAGACTGCATGTGGATTTCTCAGCCGGTACATATATCCCATAGATCCCGCTTCGAAGCAAAACTTGTATGGCAAGCAACAGTTTGGCCGAAGTAACCTACGAAAACTGCTCGTTATATCCGAAATTTGTCATACGCATTAGCATAAACATGTAATACCTCACGTTGGGGACATTATTTGGGTTCGTCTGAAACAGAATATTCGGTAATTCCGATGATGATTGGTGTCATTCATTGGTGTTCATACTATGCGATACAGCTATTTCGTCTTCTATTTGTGCTGTGTGTATCCTGTCATTTCATTAAAGGCAGCGGGGTAGCCAAGTTGCTAAAGAGTAGACAGGTCATGTCGAGACCCGAGTTCGATTCCCCCTTGGAGACTAGAAGTACAGACCCTGCTGACCACCCCCTATGGATACATTCAAAACGTCAGCTCCAAAGAATAAGCAGTCTCGAATATCTGCCGAAACAGATTCCTAAGAGCGGAAACGGCAAATTAGTGAAAAGTATACGAACGGATCACTGAAAATCAGCGATGACACCAGGTGTTCGCGAAAAGGATACACATGTTCCGCCCTACCCGTTGCATCCATCACTCACAATTTTCATAGAAATCGCAAGTGCCAGTGAGCTTGATGTGGGAGGAAAGTCAGAGGTGATGCAGGTCTGAGACGTTTACCACTTCGGTGAAACCAACGAGCAGGGGTATGGTGCTGACAAACCCAGAAACATTATCGGGGTGAACAGGAATCGAACCCACATCATTTCTGGCGTGCTCAAGGGACGCAACTCTGCACAGCGAATTGCGGCGCCTTAGACGACTGGGCCACCCGTGCCCCTAGTAGGGGATAGCATCGCGCATGACCTGACTACCACACATATAGCGGCGTAGATCAATACTCCCTCACTGGCAAGGGCAGAAGATGTCATAATTACGACAACTTTGTTGGCCTGTCAAAATAGAAACCCGTAATTTACAAACATTTACAACTAAGTAAAAGTATTCATTTCTGCACTTTCCAATCTTAATGGATGTTAATGTTTTTTATGAACCTAATGTGGAATTAATAATGTTCGTGTTAAATGACATTTCTTTTAGCTCAGGATTTGAGTTGTAAAACAATCCTCCGACATACGAGATTCAATTAGATTCACTGCTTCTTGTCCGCTGAGAGTGATGAAGGTATCTAAGTAGGTTACGGATCCCGTTGAGACTTTCCATATCTTTTTTTCGGAGACCTTTTTCATCACATCTTTTCGTTAGGAAATCTATGTAACACTTGCGAGACAGAAAAAATTTCAAGAGATACTCTCCCGAATCCCCGATTTATTAGTGAAGTTTGTTGCAAATGTGCTAAATATTGATTTGCAATTCATTTCATTTGGGCAAAATAACTCTGTGATCAATGGTGTTGACATTATTTAAGATTTGATGGCGAAGATGTAGTTCTATTTCATTTCCACTCGTTTGATGAGAACGCGAAAGTTTGCCCCTGCGGCGCATGAATAACATAAGAAGTAGTCCATTTCTTGAAGAAATAGTGCAGAACGATGTCGGGTGTTAGCATACGAGGATGGCTCGTGCTTTCTCGGGGCTTAATGTCGTCTTTCCATCATCTGTGTTGGACTCGGTCTGAAGCTTGCGACATGGAAAGTGTCATATATTTTGAAAGATAATATCCTTCTCCTCGATGCGCACCGGAAGTCCTCTCGAGCCACTCACGGGCGCAGGAAGTCTAAACAAAGCAGTCGGTGAAAACCCAGCAATCGACAAAGTACGCGGGAAATGAGAGGAGATGCATTAAGTAAAAGACCTGATACCGGTTATTACTGTTTTTGTTCGCATTTCAGATCGATCTTGGTAGTCATGGCAACGATTCCGTGAGCGGAACAAATTTAAGTGCTCCCGGCATAACAGGCCTATTAGAGGAAAATAAGTTATTTTAACAAATAAAGATATCTTGATCTCGCCAAAGCGCGCACGGCGTTATTACAGAGCAATGTCGGACGCTCTTCCGCTTTCCTTCCAGAAAATATTAAAAGTTTCCACAGTGAGATCGAAACCCGATAGTTGATTAATACAGTTTTGCGCGTCAGGAAGATGGGACAATACATCGTTATTAAGGCATTTCCATGCACAGAGTCGGGGCAAATCGCTGCTAGACGGCAAATTACTCAGTGATAACGTACACAACTTTCCTATATTTAAATCTTATGAGACGGCCTTTCGGTGGGGTCCGCGGTGGTCGTGATTGGCGGAGGGGAAGCCAGGGCAGAGAAAAGAAGCCAAGACGGAGACCCCACTGCGCTAATAAAGGCGGGTCGAGATTAAAGGCCCAATCTAACGCTATAGGGGGTCTTCTGTATTGTCGGAGAGACCACAGGATTACTGATGAAACCATTTCGTCATCATCAGTGAGGTTATCGAGGATAAAACCGGCTCTGGAGGAATTACAAAGATATCAATGCCGCGGTATTTTATACGTCGGAAGGCGCGAAGGGTTTCGCAGGATGAACTTTGCTTGTAACTGGGAAAATGTTGCCCCAACAAGGCTAATCTCTTTCTATTACGGGATCAGATTTTTTTCTAAACCTACCTGTTAGAATTAGTCAAATTTCTTTAAGAAAGTTAATGCTTAAATAAGAAAGTTTCTAAATAATCAGATTATTGGATTAGAAAAAAGTACATTGGCGACAGTATTACGTCTTGGGACTTGAGTCATTATGTGAGTTATATGAAACAGGATGAGATTTATAGGGAAAATAGGGGGAAAACAACATATGTGGAATTGATGGTTAGACGAAAATATGTTTGATAATTTTATTTTCCGGCTTCCTAACCTGATACCATAATCTTTTCTCTCGGTTAAATTTAGTAGTATGATATTTTATATTAATGCAATTTATTCATATTCACTTGATTTATATATTTTTAGCGGTTTAATTTTGGCAATCTGATATTTTGGAGTAACTGTAATATGTGCACATTCTTTTGCTTCAGGTATATTTCTAATGCTGGTAATTAAAATACAAGTCATGAACAATATGTATGCATGCATAATTAAAAGTATTATTTTTTATTTATTGTTAGGATAAATAGGAATAAATAGTTTTTATACGTAAAATTACGCAAAATATTAATTTTAAGGATGGTTTAAAAGAAACCATGAAAATGGATACGGAAGGATTAGAAAAAGAAATATTGTATTGATATTTTTAAATTGTAATGAATATTTTTTACATGTCAAAACAGTCATCGTGGTACAAAAACGTATAACATGTATACGCAAGTATAATGTTCAAGTTGACAAGACGTACATGTTTATTTCACTTGTTTTAGGGTTTGGACAACGTATTAAGTAGACTTCTTAAGTACTGTTTATATGCAATAACAGTCTAAGTACATACTTGGAACAGTATTGGCCAATCAGTAGAATATGTAGTATTCCTGTCTTTGTGATTCTAAAACTTAAATTACTATTCCATATTCCTTATTTCGTTTATATTATTATTGTTTTTAGTTATTCTTGAATTTGTTTTACAGATTTTTTTTCTATGAGTGGCTTATTATAAAGTCGCAACACTATCTGGAAAAAAACGATGTAAAGCATCTAGCCTGTTAATATTTTGCTGTTGCTGCTGCTGCTACTCCTACTCCTCCTCCTCCTCCTCCTCCTCCCACCACCACCACCACCACTACTACTACTACTACTACTACCACCACCACCACCACCACCACCACCACCACCACTACTACTACTACTACTACTACTTCTACCACTA